TCTCTCAGTTTCCACTGTTATAAACCAAATACGTTAGTTGGGGAACTAAGAATCCCAGGTTCGAATTAAACAGCCACACTAATCAGGAACACAACAAATATTGAATGAATTACCAATCGAAAACACAAAATAGAAAACGAGTTCAGACTTTGATGTTCCACTCCCTCTCCCTTCACTTTATCAGCAAAAACTACAACACCCAGATCCAAAAACTCCCAAACAAACCAAAAAGATGAACAATTTACCACAAGAAGCTACAAATCAGAACCAGGGAACAAAAGGGCATATGAGTTTGGCATCACAAATATTACCTTCTGGGTTGGGCTTTAACCTGGATTGAGGTGGCCCAAGAGAGGTGGATGGGGATTCTGAGTACCCTCGTTTCATGGCCAAGGATCAAACTAACACTAGCACACTATCCGGGTTTGCGGTAAATAATCGAATGCCGGCTCAAAATCAGAGCTTGCTATTCAAAAGGCAAAGGAAACAAACACAGACAGCAACGTTTTTCTATTTGTGTTTAGTGAGATGAGAGAGAGACAAAGAATGAATAAGAAGGGTGTTTTCAAAGGCTTAAAAGTAGCTTTGAGTGTTTCTCTGTATCAGATTTTATGCTTGCAGGCTGCGTGGGCCTAACATCACCTAATAATAATAGGTGTATTTTGTTTAACGTGGTATGGTGCGTATGTGATTTTTATCCTAGGTTGAATGAAGTTGGTCTTTGCTAGGGCATGGTTTGGGTTGATATGACACCGTTGGCGCATATGATCAAAGTAACAATCGACAGCCGCAAACTCACTTATACAGTGTGTTTTGGTGATGCTTTTGATTCGGTATCTCGATTCATGATTTCTCTCATTCTTATTAAGTACTCAAATCACACACCGAAACTATGAAAATTATAATTGAGATTGATTTAATTCAAATCTCAAAGTAGTAACATAATTGACCGGTTTGATCAACTTTGATTCATGAGAAATTAAACAAACATTCTCTATGCTCTATCATAGAGGTATATCGTATGAGTTTAATGTTGTCG